CTCTCTGTTTGTAAGAAAGAACAAGAGTAAAAAACGGTAGGAAAGATCACTGGTAGAGCAATGACAAATTATACATTAAACACTTACATAAGCGTTCTTTTGTTCTTTGATACAAGGAAGACGGAACATTGTTATTATGAAACCGTAGTGTATCTAATCTGTCACGTGTCTATTATGCACCGAAAAGTTACTGAATTTTCTGCTTACAAAGACCATCGTCCTGTCGATCGAAGCCTTCGCATGACAAAATCTAATTTATAATAAACACCCAGATAACATTTTGCGCGCGAACATCTATAAGCATGACGACGCACCAGGATAGGATTTTGCTTGCGTTGTTGAGCCACTTTTCTCCGTAAGTTGTTAGATATTGTGTGCGCAAAATTATACGTCAATAATTGAGCTAACCACTTGCATGCGAAAGCACAAAATTCAGGCAAATCTCGTATACTTAGTTTGCACGTATAAGACAAGAATTGTTATCGGGGCAGTTACCGAGTTAATTGACTTGCCACTATTGTCTCACGCAGCGTCAAATTCTACGTTGAAAGTGTAGTAGAATGCAACGTGACGCGTCGCCTATGATACGGTATCTCTTCTCGAAATCGTCAAGAACCGGTAAAGACGAGCGTCACACTGCGATGCCTTCCCGTGCCAAGATAGACGCGGAAAAAAAAAGCAGCGGTAACGATCTTGCGCGCGATAATTTGTCACCCGGCAGTAGCAGCAGCCGGCGGGCGGCGGGCTGACTGTTGCTCTTCGTTGTCGCCGATTTCCGATTGCTTTTTTAAAGCACCGGTCGCCGAGGACATTAATTACCCGAGCAGTGTAAATCACGTTATCTACCGCCCACGCTCGCGCGAGGGCCGCGAGGAGACGGCGGAACGGAAGGGGGGGGGGGAGGACGGAGGAAGAGGAGGAAGAGGAGAAAGTGGAGGAGGAGGAGGAGCAGGAGGATGAAGTGGACGAGGATACGGCGGAGAGAATCGGGGAGGTGTTCGAATACGGCGGGGGTCGTGTTGCGCGATGTGATGGTGTTGCATCGGGCTGCCAGCCGAGCAAAACGCCCGTCGACTGCTCTCCACGCGGCCGCAGCAATATCCTGCTCGCCGTTCCTGAAATTTATCGGCGACTCGCCCAAAACTTTCGTCTCTCGCGCCCGCGGCGCGGCCGCGTTTAACGGCGCGACGCGGTCGCCCGCATTTGCCTAGACGATCGATCGATCTCCCGCTTCCTGGATCGCGCGCGCGAATCCTGATCGCGGGGATGCTGGTCGCGCCGCTCGGTTTTTCTACCCGAGCCCTCTTAACACGTTTTTCGTCGCCGCTCCGGTTAATTCATCTCGCGCCAATAAGGTCACTGAAATAACCGCCCGAGATAACGTTGTGCCATTCAATAACGTTAGACAATACGTGGTCCATATAGCCGTGTTTCTTCATTTACAATATGATACTTGCGATATTCTTTCGGCCAACAATTAGGTCGCAATCAAAATAACGAAGATGTTACAAATGGACGTCGGTTTCGATCGATTCTTTAATTTGTTCTTCGTCTGTCTCTATATCGTGATCTAAAATATAATAAACGCAGAGAGCAATAAATTGATTCCCATCTCACCGACATTAGCGAAATCAATTTTAAATAATGAGGTTTTCACAGATTTCAATCTTTTCTTAAATGTACGAGCCGTTCTTGCTGTACGTAACGTGGAATAAGTAAATCTAAAATCGTAAATCTAAAATCGAGGGATAAATTGCTGACCAAAATCATGTACACCAACGCCTACTACTTATTTTGTCTTATTTTATCTTTATAACGTCCCAGCAAGACCTTATAATGCCCAAACTAATGCCCACAAAATGCCTAGTAATGCCCAGTAATGTCGCAACTCTGTACACCACAATACTATGC